CCAACAGGTATCTTCTAGAAGTCCTTGTCACCGTTACCGCCTGCATTTTATCCAGTAATGCCACGAATACCTCCTTTAAATGGAGTAAGTCAGTTGGTAACCAGCTCATAACGAAGCCTGTCAACTGACTCCGGTGAAAGTTAACACTTTCAATATAAACACTTAACTCAAGTCATAAAATTATAATTTCAAGAAACTTGTAATAAGAATAAACACTCAAACCTTCTAAATTAATACGATAAATTAACCATATCTTACCGTGCGTTTGTATTACTTTTAAAGCCTTTCCGACACCAATTGCGCACCCCAAATGTGCAGTGCTGTTATAAAACTACAAGTTTCAGTCTTCTACAAATATTCAATATTCCAATAGGCTACTCCTTTTTTCACTAAAAAGTTGATTCCATCTCCTTCTCACACTGCTTCAGCAACCGAGCCACTTCCTTTGCAACATCCTTAATTCAAATCTTTTCAAGAAACTCCGATATTTTTTTTTCATCTTGTCTTTTGTTTCCCCCACTGAAACTCTCCTCCCACTTTTCTTTCAACAATTTTTTGTGGCCTCTTCTCAAACTTCTCAAATCCTAAACTTCTTTTACTTCCTCGCTCCTATGGCGACTCATCTCCTTCCTTTCCAGTAGCTAATAAAACATGTCCCCCAAATCTCCGTTTCTTAACTGCGCATGTAGTTACCACTACTCTACCTTTGAATTTTTTTCTTTCCATACCTCTCGACAAAACAATTTACCAAGAAGCAGCAGTTTCCTAGAAAGAATTCAATTTAATCCATTTTGCGGAAAACAGCATAAACCTTTCACAGGAAAAAATAAAGTCAACCACGTTCACTATGTACTTCAAAACAGTTGTATTCGGCAGAACTCTTTCAGAGCGATGCGATTCTAAAAAACTGATATTTAGACCTAACGTGACAAAAGCGGAACTGCTCTTGCCGCGAATAACCCTCACAAATCTCACATCCTGTAACTAACAATGCCAAACTTCCCGGTAGCCTAGTCACAACGTAGTATCCTGCGGAGGTAAAGATAAACGGCTCAAATTCCACCTGACACCTGAGCTTCGTTAAGTATTCTTATAGAAAAGGCAACAGCGGTCGCCAAAATATAAGCAAAAAAAAACCAAAACAGCTTAATAATATCAGGGAAGACAACCTTATAATGGACGCAAAGCGTCAAACTGGCAGTTTTGCAATCTACTTTTGATAATTTCTTATTTAGTAATAACTCCGACACTTCACGTAAAATCATAAGTCTTTTCTTTAAACAAAAGTAAAACAAATCTTCAACAAAGAAAACAAAAATACATTAAAAAACAAAAGTTAACCTATAAACTTCTCACACTCAGTTTGCACGAACTTCTAGCTAAGTAAAATACATCAGCACGTATTCCACACCCTTGCAAGAATTAAGAATCTGCTAATCCACTTTCCATCGCCGATTCTGAAATCAACTCTGCTAGCTATGTCCTCAGAAGTCGAAAAATAAACTGTTTATACAAGTTTATACAAACTGCTGCAATTTAACAAGCCACAAAACAAAAATGCTAAGCATAAAAAATTACGAAACAGAGCTCAATACCAACTTCGATCACTTATGCATCATTAAATCCTGCAGTCTCAGTTCATGGAGAATATAGGTTTTCATACCTCAAATTCTCCAACTTTTTTACTTCCTCTGTGTGCGTCAGCTGGAATTATGTACTCAATTTCAGTTTCAACAAACGGTGCAACTCGTTCTCAGCTATGCAGCTTCCTAAGATACCTTTAACTTTTAACGTTGTAGAGAGACTAACTCAACTGATATGGCACCAAAGTGATGAATTCTTTCAGTTTCGATATTAGAAAAAAATCAGAAAACCAAATATATCAGTTAAAAGATACCTTAAAAAGTATTTTAAAAGCAATAGCAAACTTCTCGTAAACGGGAGTTCCAGCAAGCAGTATCCATAGTTCTTTTTATGCCACAAGCGTCATTACGGCATCAATATTAAAACATAAAAACACAAATTCTTCCGCGTCCTGTAATCTTTATGAAGTTTTTACACAACTATTACCGTACCCTCAACATTTCCGATCACTCTTGCATCCTAAAACGCCATTGAAAACAAATAGAAACAAGTAAGAAACCGCGTTGCCTTTTCTATAAACTGATTGCCTCATCTGGAAAATTTAAACCTAATATTAAAAAAAAAAAGACATAGTGTGACAGTAAAATGACTACATTTTGTTTGGAACAGAAACAAGCGTAGGTTGAGCAAACCCACACAGTATGCCATCAAAGTTAAATTTTATTCTGGGTTCTGTATAATGACTTTGTAAAAAAAAAGCTAACGTAGAAATGACCCACACCACGCACTGATTTCCATTTCTACAGCTATAAGCCCTATTTCTTCCTAAATGAACAAAGTTGAATCGTTCTGGGTAAAACACTACAAATCCGTGCATTCCAAAACACAATGAACGTAACTATTTGAGATCTTCGAGATTCAGGTTTTCTTTACCTTTTGTTTTCAGCTAAAGCCACCAATACTGAAATAACAAAATTATGTCGGCCTAAACTGCAAAACATTACTCAAAACCAAGCTATAACATGTAAACAAAACTGCTATTTAACAACAGCGCTTCCGCTAAATTCAACAGAAGAAATTTTAAACAAGTCAAAAATTTAAATAACCGAGGAATATCCCTCCGATCTTACTTGTCTTTTCCACTGAAAAAGTGTGAACCCTTAATGCAGTAGCATAGACCTCATTGGTGTTTGTTCACCTTACCGCATATTGACAAATTTAAGTAAGGGAGGACAACCACAGCTAAAAATTTTAAAAAATGCAGGTGGAAGACTAAATAATAAAACTTAAAATTTTAAAAAATCATGGATTTTAACCCCCAAACAGTGACTGCATTTCGGTTACCCACTGCACTGCTGCTGTCCTTGATGTCCCTCCTGAAATGCTGGTAAGGGCCTACCTTTACTTACAGTAAAACATTACTGGCACTGTTATCGCCTGTTTCAAAAATCCTCCAACTAAGGTAATTGGAGCTTAATATGTAATTCTAAACTTTCAACCAGAACCACTTTTTACACCACACTACTCACTTTTCAACTTCATTCAAAGCGTTACGGTACAAATAATCACAACTCTTTTCGTGGCCACATGTGTCAACATGTCCATGTTACCACACAACTGTAAAACTCCGAATCAACTATTATACTGCCCGGAAAACCTTGTCAAATATAAAGCACGTGGCGATAAATGCAACGAATATAACGATGCTGTACTTGTACAATCTTCTGAACACTAATTCCGCAATAAGCAGACATACGAAAATCTAATTTTATTTGCAACAACACCGAATTGGGCACTAAACGCCATGCACCCCCAATTTTTTGAACTGATTTGCAGTATGTGACACAGCTACCGAATTATAGACCGTAAAAAACTACTGTTCAGTTACGGCGCAACACTTCGCAACAGGAACGTACATGAGCAAAACACCGATGTCAACATCGCCGCCGCTAACATGCAACTAACTACGAGACGCTGCAAGGTCGATGTTGCAAGGCACGGATTCTCAGACCAATTTGAAAGAACGGCTGATGCTACACGTCAGTCCCCAAATCAGTTCAAAGACAATTTATGTCGAAATTACCCGCGCACTATTTAAACTTCTCTTTATATTCTATTCGCCTGCTATTTAAAACTGTCCGTGTCCTGATTCTGTCTCAGCAAGAAAATAAATTTCTACAGTACCAGCCGTACTACTGCGCACCTGTTGAGCAATTGCTTGTCTCGTAACATCAAATTTCTACCTAGCTTCAGTTTGAACAACCAGGAAGGGTTGTCCTGATTAGACATTGAATAAATTTACTCTTCAACATAGCCATATAAGTACAACCTAAATCTGCCAACATGATATTGCAACAAGCAAATCAACAATAACAAAGCAATATCATTTAGATAACATTCACAACAAGACAGAAACAACGAACGCCGCGACAGAGTGAGATTTTGGACACTGCTTCGCATACACTTCGTCGTTTATATACGTCCCAAGACAAATTCTTTAACCAACTCCGGTACCGCTGAATCAAAACCGCAAATATCTAACATTCCTGGATCTGTAGGATCAGCTATTGTGAAATTTGTCGCTGTCATCCCCATCACAATCAAACGGGCATCTGGTATTCCCATCTCTTCCCGATATTTCTTCAGAGCTTCAAACGGATGAATCTTAAAAATATTTTACGTCTCACCTTTAACTTCAAATAACAGGATGACCTATAACTGCCATTAATTTTTGCTAACTTACTTCTCCGTACCAAGTTTCGCAGTCTGTATAGACAACAAATACATCAAACTCCTTCTTCTTTTCAAGAGCCCATACCATTGGTTTAGCACAGTCTGTACCAGCAAAAGTCAGACCGTTTGCCTTTGTCAGAAACGTATCCAAAGGCGTCGACTGGTTTACGTCCAAAGTTGTCAACTCTTCTGAGAAGGCTACAACCTCCACCTAGAGAACTTAATGAAATCACATCTCAGTGGCTAAGAAAATAATGGTTTACCGCTAGAATTCTTGGAGTGAACGTCACGTAATATTTGCACTCCTCTCCATTATTCACTAACGTACAGCTAATGACTTCCGCAATAGATTCGCCAATCATAGAACCACTCACCTTTGGCTCAGTCCTTAAAAGAACGGAAGAAAGCGCACAAGCCGCCTCACGACAAGTGAGATGCGTGCCAGATACCGCGCTGTCCATGCTACCTAAAAATGAAATTCAGGAAAACAAAAAAAAATCCCTCAAGGTCAAATGTGATATAAAAAACTAACCTGAAACATCCAGTGCGAGGCAGTAACGCTTATTTGTCGGAGTGACATTTTTAAAAGCCAGTAAAAACGCTTTATCTAAAGCATCCTTAACGGCCTGCACCGGTTCCCAAGAAAGTTTTCCTTTGATTCCTGCCCCCTTTTTGTAAACCGATGAAGCTAAAAGCACTCCTACAGGATGAATACGAGCGTCTTTAATTGCTTTTTCGTCTGTTAACTTTGCAACAACTTTATCCACATGAACCCTACAATAAGTAGACTTTGAGACACTGCGCGCATCATACAGACCACCACATTCCTCATCTAAATTCTGAAGTTGCTTCTTTTACGGCTTTCTATACAGAAACTATGAAAAACTACAAAACAATGATCCTACTATTCAACTGACTTCACTTTCTCTTCTTCACCTAGTAATCCAATGGAAGCCATTTTCCCCAGATTTCTAATCATTGCCGTCATGGGCATGTCATCTAGTAATGCAGCCCATACTTCTTGGGAGTCCAGTAAATCTGTTGGTACATGCTCCCTAACAAACCCTGCAGAAAGTGCAATTAAAAAAACTGCTACAGCCCAAAGGGGAATTTGGTGATGTACTACACGGCTACCGAAAACACAACTTTCACATTCTAATGCCATTTTTGAAAACTCAAGTCTGATTTTACCGTGGGCTCTAATGAGTTTAACAGCCTCCTGCGCATCACTCGTGTGTTTCAAAGTCTGGAATGCTGTAATAAACGTGAAGGTTTTAGTCTTCTGCAAATCCTGAGGAACAGCACCTCTCTTTTCCATCAGCCGACTCAACTCTTCATCTCTTTCTTCGCCTTTCTTCTTCAAATGAACCAGTCTCTGTGCTACAACTTTTTCTGTAGTTTCTTCAAGAAACTTAGAAATATTTTCCTTGATTGTATCTCTCGTCTGCTTGTCCAAACCCTTCTCCCACTTTTCCCTGAACATGTTTTTCATTTTTTTTTTAAGGTCTTCAATTTCCCGCTCTTCTCTAGACACCGGTTTCTTTAATGTTACATCGCCTGCCTCTTCAATCTTTCGTTTCTTCTCCGGGTTGTCTAACAGATCTTCATTTTTGCGTTTTTTTTCCACCATGCCTAAAAAAGAAAAATTCCTATAAGAAAAAGCAGTTTAATTCACCTACCAACAGTGAATGGCCGCAAGCAAGAGTGCACTTACCATTTACAACATAATTAAAGAGAAAGTCGTATTCAGCATAATGCCCCCAGTACAAATGTGTCTCCGGAAAGCTTATTTTTGGTTTGATATGGCATAACCGAAATAAGTCACGGTGAGAATAACCTTCACGATTTTGATACTTAGTAACTAGCAATGCCAGGCGAGTCGGTTCAATATTAAAATACCTAAAAGAAAAGCTTACTAAAAAAGTAGGAAGCTACCAACTAAGTGGCTCACCAACATAAATATTACCAAGTTTCATAACTACTGTTATATTACCAAAAGAACCAACCAATTTGAAACTGTTTCTCGTAAAGCGCGACTCCATCCGCTGGAATTCTCAACAAATCCAGTTTTAGAAGACACCAGCTTACAATACTTTAAAAACATGAACAAATGCGTCGGTATGCGGCATACCTGAAAACAGGATTCCAAAAAAATCTTACTCTGAAAACAGCTTTGACCTACAACAACATTCACCCACTTTTCCAACTGCTCTCAAGGCAGTCAACTGGAGGCCCTTCTGGTAATCCAGATATGCTTGCAAGGGTGCCTGTTGCACATAAGAACTACCGATAAACCCTCTTTTCGAAAAATCCTTCCAACGTTGTTCAGTTCTTTTGTCTACAGTGTCACATACCTAAAATCCAAAGACCAAACTGCCAGAGAACAAAGAAAAAAACAGAAACTTTTTTACAGCAGGGGGTAATAATTAATACAATAAATAAAATCAAACGAAATTAGAGACATTTCAGTTACTGGAAATAACCTTGTAACGAGCACATAGTGCCAAAGCGAACATAGTAGAATCTTGTTTCGGTGCTCGCCCATTTAGCGACACATCCAATATTTCCCGCAAAATCATAAGCCCTCCCCCTAAAAACAAAAAAAAAAAAAATCAATTCAAGCAACAACATTCAACGCAAAATGAAAAGTCGTGAAGTCGTATACGCAATCTCCCAACCTTTTTGGATAATTTCGCACAGGTCCTTCACGTTGTCCATAGTAAGTTCTTTTTCACTGCTATAATATGTACCTCCTGTCGTTCCAAGAATTAAGAACCTGCGAACTCTAGTTTCATCGCTGACTTTGAAACCAAATCCACCAGCCTTGTTTTCAATCTGAAAATGTTATGGTAAGAAAAGTACTAATCCTTCAGTTCAAAATGGCACACACTCTTCATACGTAAAAATTCCGAAATAAAATGAGTTTTAAAACGCAGTAAATTATATATAAAAACCATGACATCCTGTAATGAAACCAAGCTAAAATTATTTAAATTATGCACACCTGATCTGTTCTAGCCTTTTCTGTCTGTTTATGCGTATCTGGTGGAGTTACGTTTTCATTTTCAGTCTCAACGAACGACGCAAGTTGTTCTAAACTGTGAAGATCACTAAGCCATTGCTTGTACTTCGCAGGAGTCGGCTCATTTGGCTTAACACCAAAAAGCAATTCCTCAAGTTCTGCCATCGACCCTGCATAAACCAACAAATATACACTTCATAAAACACTTCTGTACGAAGTTTCAGCAACCGATTACGAGTTCTGCAAATGCCAATCACCGCAAAACAACATCTCAATAAGGCTTCTCGTTTAAAATATTGATACTTAAAATAAACCTTTCAGTACATATATAAATACAACCCTAGAACATTTTATTCTATCTAAAAATCCCTCCCCTTACCCCCACTCACTTTCCATACTGTAATCTAATGATGTCATAAAAAAACAGCTATGAAAGTGAGCCTAAACTGGGATCAAATGCAGAAAACGGCAGTAAGGAAATATCAATGTTATTAAAAATTGATAACCCTATCGAGAAAACAAAGAATGCGAAGCAGCGTCAAGAAAAATTTATTTTATAAAGGAGACAAGTATCATATAAGCAGACCCATAAACTATCAAATTAAATCTTCATTCCAAAGTTCCGCAAAACACGTTCGTGCAAAAAATAAAAGGCGAAAAAAATGAGTCATACTTCTGACACATTAATTCCAACCAATACCTCTCCGTTCTGCAACTTATGTGTCTAAACTTTATTTGTTCTCACAATTATTTGTGCAAGACTAAACTTTTTGCCAAGATACAACAGGCTAATGGTTTCTGCTGCCTACTAAACGTATCTATCCAAGCTCTTAAAAAATCAGATTTCACTAGATACCTTCTTATATTTAAATGTCAAAAAATGTAATAACAAAGTCAAGTCCACCCAAACTAAACTGATACTTAAAAAACGACTGCCAATGGAAAAGAAACTGAAATACTCAATTCATGAGTATACTTTTGGCTGAGTTCAACGGAGGTACAATTAAAAATTTAAAAAACAAGCAGTTGAAAACATTTCGCTCAGTTTGAAAAATCGGAAAATCACTTTAAATCGTTGCGTAGTGTTAACCCGGCAATAATCCCTAAAAGCTTCCGTTCTACACTATTATTCTAAAAGTTAAACTACGAAAAATCAAGCGCATAGTAGTAAGGAGGCCACAGCGAAATTTTTTTGAGCACAATGAGACAGTTTCGATGCGAAGTGAACATATCTGAAGGATTGCCGTTGGAGCAAAAAGGCTGAACATTCAACATAACTGCTGCCGCACGCCTAGCTGAGTCATCATCTGAGAAGAATGGAGCAGAGAACTCGCTGAGTAGACTGCGTTTCGCTTTGCCACTACAACAGTACTGTTACCCTTGGCGACCGAGTCTGAAACGCCAACACCGTGTTGATTTTTAAAAACGACGGAATCTTTTCGCTGGTCTCGTTGCATCAGTTGGGTTCTCGTCGCTGCCTTCATTCATGTTACAGATGACATATTAAGAGTTTGACTGCGAACCGTTTCACAGCAAAAGATTGGAGCCGAAAAACTTTGTCTATAGGTGTTTACAAGAACTAGAAAACTTCTCACAATACACATATTCATAACTTTAGCAGAAATACCCAAAAAATTTATGACAACTTCTATAGTCAGTGGATGTTTAAACACACACCTCTCAATAAAGCTTCAAAAATAATTTATTAATTCAAAAAAAAAAAAAAGCCATACTGCTTGAAAATACAGCGCTTAGTAGAAAATCCCGAGAAACCACAATAAACGTGAGATGTAACCAACATACATAAAATTACGAGGCGTACCCACGAACTAAAATACTAGCAATCAGTGCGTTCTCAAATGTGATCAACAAAGTTTATTTACAAGCCCTCTGTGAAAACTAAACTCTATTTGGATTGAAAGTAGATGAGTAAGCAAGAATAAAGAGAAACCAAAAAACAGTAAATCTAAAAAAAAACAGCAGATAAGTGTGAATTATGAAAACGCTTGGATGAAACTGAAAAATATGTTATGCAGCGGTTAACAACATCATGAACCTTATAAAGGATCAATGAAATGACTCACAATTATGCAATATCCTGCAATGTTGTGAAAAAAAAAAAAAAAAAGCAAAACGAAAACAATCGACCCAAGAGCAAAAATCAGCGCTTCACAGGCAATATTCTAAAAAATTTGGAACTGAAAGAAATTCTGCTGTTATTGCCGGGCACTAAATTCTTTATTACCTGTAACCGTTCGCATCCTGATGAAATAACATTGGTTACAAGCTCATGCGTCATGTTTTTAGCTTCGTGTACGCAATTTTAACTGACCCAACAACAACAATCTCATTTTTACTTATCACGCAATCAATGTGATGTAGAGTTACATGAACTAGGTAAAAATAATATCGAACGAACAACTTCACGGAACACGACCTTGTTCTTTCCTTCAGTTTCCCACAACTATAGTGAATGATGATACTTGCTAAAGTAGTGGTAAAAAATATATATAAGGGAATTCATTCCTAATTTGGTGTGAAATTTTTTGGGAGCAAATATCCTTTATCTTGGAGAAGTTACAGCGGCTTTGACAGAATGCCACTGTGCGACGCAGAGGCATTTGGAGTGAACTCTGTAAAAGTATGCTAAACTTCTAGGTGTCTTGTGTAAATGATGTAGCAGCCATTGATTACTGTTTATCAAGGTCTCCTCTGTTCGCGTTTACAATTTCATGATTTAATTTCTATTTTCAGTCGAGATTTTAGCCCAAATGTGAGAAAAATTTCAATTTTTGATATACTTTTTAACAGTGTTACTAATAATAAATTTGTTAAGTGCCCGGGGACCTTAGTTATTTTTTTTTTTTGCTTACTGTAAACTACATGCAAAGTACTTTGAGAAGAAATAAAAAAAAAAGAAAGCTGACAGTGAAGGTTTTCAAAAAAGCAGGTCATGAAATGACAGGAGAAAAGGATACAGTTCCTTAATGAATGCGAAAAGTTTAAAAAGTACTACTAAAAAAGTAGCAAATACTGAAATACAGTTCCTTAATGAATAAGAAAAGTATAAAAAGTACTACTAAAAAAGTAGCGAATACTGAACTAATACGGTCAGGGATGATGGGGAGAAAAAGAAGTGCACGTGTCAATTTCGTACATTTCCGTTTCAGATGTCCTTCTTTTTGTTAGTTTAGAAAAATATAAGAATACGTTTACTTCCTTACGTAATTACTGTAGTGAAAATGCGCATGAATGTTTTTTTTATTCTTCTCCTACTGCAGCCTAGATAGCCATCTGTAAATTAGAAAAAAAAAAAA